TATGTTAAACATGGCCTTCTTTTAGTTTAATTCTATGGTCGAAAAAAATCTCAGTATTTATATGGATATTATTTGTTAAATCGTTTATTAGCTCTTTATTTTTCATTTTTATGATAGTTTATTAAACTTATTAATAGGGACATATGAACCCCATCGATACCAGTACATTAATATATGTATATATATATTACATCATTCATTCAAGATAATTGATTAATTAAAGAACACTATTCAATTTTTCCCTCATAACAATTCATTCCTTATTTCTAACTAATTAAGTTCGATATTAATCGAATTACGTATGTAAAAACCATAAAATGTTATTTGAAAAAATAAAAACTAAGGTATGTGTTTTAAACCACACTATAGAAATGAAAACATCAACATGGCGAGATTAATAATATTAAATATAAATTATAAATAATAGCTCATTATAAAGCAAATGAAATTCCTATCATTTCCCACGCTTTCAGTATGCAGGTCCGAATTTTAGTTTCTGAGATATTTTAATCCATATCTTCAATTATACTCGTTACCATTAGTTTTTCGACATTATTTTGTTCCTTTTCACCTCTCAAACACAGCGTAGCGTTAAGATACAGTTTTGAATAATATTCCATTACAAAGAGGATGAAATGCTGAACATTTGCCTAGTTTACAATATACAGATTCGATTTTTATTTTTTAAGATATTTTAATCCATTTGCAAAAACATTATTCGACTCCAGTCGACTTTATCCGAGCGTTACACATCGGAATCTGATGGCTAAATCTAATTCACTCTCCATAAAATAATTGCAAAACGTGTCTAAAGACGTTTTTACTTCAAAAATACTAATTTAACTTGAATAAAGTATTGCTATATTTCGTTAGCAGTTTTGTGAATTTCAGTAGATTTATTTAATTTTAAAATTAATTTTTTTTTTTATTTGTTGCTGATTTAGCCTATCCTTTCATGATAAACTCCCGTTTCATCCGTGTCCACTTATTTCCAGCCTTGCTTCTCCCTCGATTCCTAGTAATCCCTCTGGCGTTTGAAAATGGCCTCGTTATCCTCTTACCTAGAATTAAATAGGGAGTGCTACCACTGACTGGGAAAATATCTCTTGAAGTATGTTCATGTCATTATTTCTAATGTGTGCATATTTACTGGTTGTAACTTTATACAGTTGTAAATTCCATTAAATAAATAAAAATATATAAAAATAATAATTTTTGAGAAATTAGTTAACTGGATTTGATTCGTACTTAATGAAGAATTCATGAGGTATTAAAATAAACCTTCTTCATATTTTTCTTCTTTTTTCTTTTATTTTCAAAAGACAACAAAGAGCTTTCGAATAAGAGAAAATGAAGATTTTTCCATATGATCAATTTTTCTACCTCTTTGTTTTCATAAGAGAAAGATGTTTCTTTGTTCTCTGGAGCTAAAGTGAAATGATTTTCAAGTTGTTTAGTCCACGAAAGAGAGAGAAAAAAAACTTTCATTGAAGAGTGAAACAATAGTACTCCACTCTCACTAACACTGTTCTCATGCAAAAAGATCAGCATGCGCAGGTTCGAGGCTGTTAACGAAAGTCAAAAACTGTTGCGTGAACCACTGTCAATAGACGAATTGGTGACCTATATTGCTGACAAACCTTTGTTAGAAACTATTATAAAATAGGCCTGACACAATACATCTTGCCTTAATTTAGACAAATAATTACAAAACCAGAAACCACAAACTCGCATAAAATAAGTACATTATCTTCATTTATTATTTGTCGTTTAGAAAAATCAAGGGCCTCAGAGTTACATTTTCGGGACTCCCTAAATATTAAAATTATCAATAAAAGCCAACCGAAGCGTTTGTAAAATATGCAATAAAAATATTATTTAAAGATATTACAGATTTATTATATAACTAGTAGACCCCAGTGAAAATTCGCACAGTATATTGTTCAGTGATCATAAGAAAATAAAATAATGCAACTATCATAAAAGAAATAAATTGTTACTTTCTGGCTACATATAATCGACTATGGAAACAAAAATTAATTTAAAACCTCTTTAATGTTTGGAACCAACATGTTAACAAATTTCAATAAGCTGTATTTTTGCTAATAATTGTCCGATTTCGATGGTTTTTTTTTCCTTTTGTATGGAATTTAGTAATCTTTTATATAATTATGGACATAACATAGGGAAAAGTGTGTAATTTTTGAGTTATTTGCAAATAAGGTTTCTTTTCTTTCATAACTTTTCATTTCATAACAGAAGGAAACCTTCAAAATTAGTGACTCAATCTTGTGGATTTGATGAAGAATTAACGATAATATGGCTTGCCGACAAAAATGCACCTTTGATAAACAATATAAACAATTATAAGACATCACAGTACTACAATTAACCTAAGGTTGTGTGAATGCGAACCCTTTGCCTTGCGTTATCTCGAAAATAAAATGTTTTGGGGCTTAAAAACACAGGGCCCGATAGTTCCGAAGGACTATCTGGGTCTTGGTTTATTCATCAAAATCTTCTAAGCCTAATTTGTCCCATATCGTTCTACAGACTTACCACCGTTCCAGTATTGATACTTAGCAAAATGTTTATATTGCATTTATTTATTTTAGAAAGAAAAACCAAAACGAAGAATTACAATTTCCTATCCTCTCCCGCAAAATTCATGGTATTTGAGCATGACAGGAGCTTATATTTGGTTCAAAACCGATTTCGAGCCTTACTGTAATAATATATGTGGGGTGGGATATATGATATCTCTAAGATTAGTACGGAATTAGATCGAGAATTATATATTGAACGACAATTGTACATGGCCATAATGCGATGATACTAACATATTTGTATTTACTATCATCTAAATAATAAATAAGATACCTCAAACAACACTTACCAATGCCAATAGGTATATTCTCACTCGTTTGAGAAGACTGAAGAACTTCCAACTACCCTCACCAGGGGGCACTATCGTAACATCTGTTTGGGGTTTCCCAAAACTGTAACGGTAATGCCATATTTTATTTTTGACATAATTACAGTCTTATTTCTGTTTCAGTTTAGAAAGTCTTCGGTCAATAATCATTTCAAACATTCTGAGAGTGAGAGAAAAAATGATTTTATTGATTAGGTTGCTATAAATCATTAATACGAAGTTACTATTAAATAATATCTCATTTTGATTTAATTTGATACATATTTACTTACTATCACCTTCGACATATAACTCACCATGCGAATCTTCCATTGCTGGAAGTCTTCTTGTGTCAGCTCCAGGAAGGCGCGTACCGCTTTCTCTTTCAGGACGTTAACTTGGTAATAGTCTGACCTTCAGGGACTCAGTGAACCTGCACAATCCTATGAATATCGAGGAAAAACACAACATTCATCATTGCTTTGAATTAATTTTTTTTTCTTTCTTCATATTTTCATCCACATCTGTCATAGTCTTGACAATAAGCAGATGTGATATTACAATAAAGGAGATTGGCATTTTAGGCATGAAAAAGAATAGTACCCAGCAGCACCTCTTTCTGGTCTTGGTTTAATTCCTTAATTCAGGAAAGGAGATCTCTCATCCAGCTCCTCTTTAGTAGTCTCGTGATGGGCATATCAGCTGTGGTCATGTCGTGGATAAGTCCATTGTGATATTCATGTAGTTGTTTGGTTATTTACGTACCAGGTAACTGCTGTTATTAGTCTTAAAATTTTGGATGATTGTAGTTGTACGCACGTAAGTGCGTTTTTTTTTTTGCATAATTGTGAATTTGAATTCTATTTTCGATCTCCTCTCAACTTATAAAACAATCGACTAATCTACACCGCCATACTAGGACCTATTTGGACATACGTAGCAGAACTTTAAGGTTCTGCAAAATACGTCCAGATAAACAAAATACAAACTGCACTATCCAAAATACTTGGAAAAATCGTAAATGCACCTCGGTGTATTTCAAATCACACCATACAGAGCGACTTGAACATTCCAACGGTAAAAACCTACCTACATAACAAATAAACCACATTCCACACTTCAACTATTAATCCACTTTCATTCTAGTCTCCTCTCTTTCTTCGTTCCTATTGCCTGGAGAGTCACAAAGAAGACTGAAAAAGCAGTGGCTTCGAGATCTGCTCACAACATTTTCAAGTAGTTTGTCTTTGTGAAAACCATTTGAAGGGGACTTGTGAGCAGCTAAACTATGGATAAGCTGTTTTTCATAAAATAATGGATCATTCGCGACGTTTTGTAGCATCCTACAAATTATACCCCACTTTTATAAAAACTTTCTTGTTTAATAAGTTTTAATTGCATATCAATTCATTTGAGGTTTGTTTTAGAATAGAGTTGAAATTAACCTCTATTTGTGTGAAAAATTGTGTGATTTGATATTCTGTCACTCCAGAGTATCTTTATTTTCATCAAATCCATCTCAAGAGACACACATATTACCCAGTACTACACTGAGTTGAAGTGGCTCAATCCAAAATATAACAACCGAGGAATTTCAAGTTTTAATTTCTTCTTTTTCTTGTGACATTTATTTTAGCACATTAATTATAAAAATACACTTTTATTCATGTAAAAATATTACTTTTTCAAAAATGTATTTTCTAACGTGATAATCAACTATTATTTATAACACAGCTATCTATTGTGGGAATAGATCATTATAGTATTTAAAAAAGTCTTCATTCCTGTTCGAAATCGGCCCATATATCAAATGAAACTTTTAGGTAAGAATCACCTCCAACTGTTTGGCTATTAACAACTGAGACACCTTATATATTGAAGATGATATTAGATAATAAGTAAATATATATGAAATTAAAATAAAATGTTTTACAGCATCAGTCTCGTTATTTAGTAGCCTATACGAGGAGTTTATTTATAATGTTATAATATAACTTTTAGTAGCCCATACGAGGAGTTATATTATAACATAACCAGTAATATGTTATAATAAATTTATTATTATTATATTTTATTAATTTTGCAGATGGACGCGGAGTCGTGGTCTGCTACGTCGGCACCTGGGCGGCCTACAGGCCGATGCGCGGGCAGTTCTCAGTGGAGGACCTTCGACCAGACCTCTGCACGCACATAGTCTACTCCTTCGCCGGCCTCAACTCCACCTCGTGGACTATCAGGTCTTTGGATCCTCATCTCGATCTCGAAGAGAACTATGGAAAAGGTGAGGCAATCATTAAATGTTTTCAGGCGGTATTCCTATTAGAGACCGGATTTTAATGAAGTGAGAAAACACGATGGTATTCGGGTGAATGCCATCTAAGTGGCACCAATTTTTTTTAGGTACATCAACCTATCATCTGTGATGTGGCTTTTTTTGCGTATTGTAGAGCTCTGAGTCTTCCATTCAACAGCTGTTCTTGCCCACCTGTCAATATGACCCACTTCCGCTTCATTCCCCTTAGAAAAAGAAATAGAAAATAACTTTATTCTGGGACGAAATCCCTTTAGAATGACAAAATAGAGCATAATTAAAATACCACATTTGGCCAAAATAAAACAATAATAAAAAAGAGAAAGTAAAAAAAATATTAGTTAAACAAGCTATATACAAAAAAAAGAAGTTATATACAAAACACTTAAAACTATGATAAAACACTTAAGACTATGTACAGTAGGAAAAATTGTAATTATACTCTTTTGAAAAATAAAATTTAAAAAAAATTCTTAATTGAGGTGCGTTTCTGCTAACAAAGAAAAGACAAAGCTGACAATATAAAATGTCAGTGTTTTTAAATAATGAATAATATGTAGACTCGTCATTGTCAAATGCTAGCTATAGGTACAGATTATATATATATATATATATATATATATATATATATATATATATATATATATAATTCTCTAGATCCATAGAGAGATGCAGATTGTTCTTGTTATCTAGTGCTTTGATAAGTAATCATGTCCATATATATTTTTTTTTTATATTTGTTTATTTAGAAATATCACATTCTGTCACATCAAGGACATTTGTAATAGTGTTCAGAGAACACACTCACACTCTATTTACAATAAATAAATAAAATAATAATAATACAGAAACTTAATAATAATAAATACAATAAAATAAAATAAAAATAAATACAATAAAATAAAATAAATGTATATAAACAAAAGAACTAACCTAATCATACACACTCGGGCTTGAGTGGAGGATCTGGCCATTGCCAAAACTCCAATAGATGCTTATTTACAGAAAGTCTCTGGGCCACTGCCGCTTCAACCTTCGAGGAGGATTGTAAGGATGGGTGGTGCTGGATAGAGATTGTGCAAGGGGATTTGGATGATAGGTAAGGTTCTAGTGAAATTTGAAGAATTTTTCTGGAATAAGGTATAGGACAAATGGGATATTAAGGTCATGGTGTAGGATTTTGTTATTTACATAGAACGGAGCATCAACTATTGTTCGAAGGACTTTAGATTGAAAGGATTGGATACGTTTGATGTTAGAAGCTTTTGCTGTCCCCCACAGTTCAAGTCCGTATGTCCATATAGGTTTCAGTATTGTCTTGTAGATAAGTAATTTGTTTTCAATAGAAAGTTTGGATTTTCTGTTTAGTAGTCTGTATAGCTGGCCGTATCGTCGGTTGAGTTCTTGTCTTTTGAGTCTAGTATGTGGGTTCCACGTTAGTCTTCGGTCTAAATGAAAACCAAGATACCGGACTGTGTCTGAGTAAGGAATCTGGATGGAATTAAAGTGTACTGGTGGACAGGAACTGCGTCGGAGTGTAAAGGTAATATGTTGGCATTTAGATTCATTAACTTTAATGCGCCAGTTATTACACCAGTGCTCAATCAAGGTGAGGTGGTTTTGGAGATTTAAGGATGCTATGTTGGGATCAGAGTTGGATGATAAGATTGCGGTGTCGTCAGCGAATGTTGCAAGAAAAGTATCGGGATGAACAGGGATGTCAGCAGTAAAGAGGATGTAAAGCACGGGACCCAAGACGCTGCCTTGGGGAACACCGGCTTTAACGGAGTAGATATTGGAAAATTCTGTTCCACAGCGAACTCGGAAGGAGCGGTCAGAGAGGTAGGATCGGAGGACTAGGTACAAGGACTGAGGTAAATGGATTTTAAGCTTGAAGAGCAGTCCGGAGTGCCATACCCGGTCAAATGCCTGTGCAATGTCCAGAAATGCACCCGAACAGTATTCCTTGTTTTCTAGAGCTGAGGGTCCATATATTACTGATATTAGCTGATTCGCCCTTAGCCAATTGGTGCACTCGGGCAATGACGTCACTTCCTCCAAAAAAAAAAAAAAAAAATTCTCAAGCTGTTTTATATTATGTACTATTTGAGTTTTAATAATGTAGAGATGGTTGGCCGTGATATAATATGAGAAGGAGTTGATCTGGGGGTGCGGTCAAATAAATACTGAATTATAGAAATAGTATTATTTAATTTTTATGCCGACGTTTCGTGGAGCCCTGATGAAGACCTGAAAAGTGGAACGAAACGTTAAAAATTAAATAATACTATTTCTATAATTTAGTATTTATTTGACCGCACCCCCCGATCAACTCCTTCTCATATTTGAGTTTTATTTCATTCAGTATGTCCTCTGTTCAGTTGCTTACTTTTTTTTTTTTTTTTCCAGTTTGCATTGGAGACCATGTAGATTTTTTGCTGTCTTAAAAGCCTGCTCCATCTCTGCCTGTATTGAGCTGTTTCTTTCCATATGCACGCAGCTCGATTGTTGATTCTATCTATCCAGCTGCTTTTTGGTCTTTCACGTAGTATTTTTCCTTCTATTGACGCATTCATTGTTAGATAGAGGCTTCTAGAGAATTGCTACGAGCTACATACCCCGCCCATTTTAACCTCTATGCCTTCATATCATGGGATATTGTATTTTTTTTTTTAATTACCTTGAGCAGTTCTTTGTTGGTCATTCTTCTCTATGTGTTGGTACTCTGATCCCAGATTGCTCCGTTTATCGTGATTTTTCTCTCAAATCTTCGAACTCTTTTTCTATGTTGCTGGTTAGTTTTCAGGTTCCACAGCCATCTATTAAAATTGGCTTTATCATAGAGTTGTTACATTAATTTGATATTTTGTACCTTGAAATAAATCATATTAAAGGTGCTTTATATAAGCATATAAATTTATTTTGAAAGTTTGGCATTTAAGCTCTGTTAGACCATATCACTGAGGAAAAGTCTTATCTGAAAAGCATTTAATTGTGTATTTATATAACGAGTTTTATAAAAATAATTTTCGAGAAAATGTTAAAAATGTATAAATTCTGTTCTGATCCATATATCTATGAGTAAGTAATTGTTCATTTAATATCGTTTAATGGCGACTTGCAGGTTGGTACAAGAAGGTGACCGGCCTGAAGAAGGAATACCCGGACCTGAAGGTGACCTTGGCCATCGGAGGATGGAACGAAGGATCAGGAAACTACTCCGCCCTAGCCGCAGACCCGGAGAAGAGGAGGCCCTTCATTGCAAGTGTCCTCAGGTTCCTCAAGTGAGTCTATTTTGTGTCACAAATAACTAAGAATTCATTCAATACTAGAATATAGAAAGTCCTTTTATATAAACTTAACATGAGTGGTTCTAGAGGTATTTTTTAGGAAGGGGAGGGGGAGGAAGAATATCAGAATTTGGAAGAAATGTAATAAATCGATTATCTAACTATTACATATCTTGAACCATTTCAAATCGATTGTCGTTGACATAGATAAGGGCATTAGGTACTTGCATGATTTTTCAATTTTAATTCAACTACTCAGCAGCCACCTTCAGCTGAAAATAATGCCCCACCTCAATTGCTCCAATTACTCAATGGCTTAAACTCCCTCATACAGCCCCTGTTTAGTATCCTCCAACAGCTTGCACAGGTGACTCAAGCCATGTATCCAAAAAATGGCCGCTAATCAGCTGACTGCAGGCTCTTTGTCCATCCTTCTGTGGAGACATGGCCACAGCTGACATACCTCAGAACATGAGCAGGAGACTAAAAAGGCGTTGGATGAGGGATCTCCTTCCTTAGACAACCTAAGTAATTGGAACAAGTTAGGGAAGAGGTACTGCTGAGTACTTTCCTTCCCCATGCCTGTCATGTCATTATATCATTATCGTCATCACATTTGCTAATTGTCAACTTATTGTTGACAGGCGCAAATATATATTTTATAGACAAAAAAAAAAAAAAAATCTTTGATAAATATAATGTTATAACAATAAAAACGCATAAAGTCTTAAATTTGATTAATACATAGTTGCAAAGATTGTGTTAAAGAAAAGTGGTGAGGATGGACATACATCATGACCTGCCAGAACCTATTGTGTTTCCATTCTCAAAACGTCCATTCAGGAAATATCTTTCCGTATTTTTTCTCATCTTGTTGTTACTAAATAAATATATTTAATATAAAATTTATTTGTTTAAAATTTATTTTATTAATATAAAATTTAATAGTTTTTATAAATGATTTTTTATTAAAGCAGAGAGAGGTTAATGGTCGTGTTTGGCAGCCTCATACGTCACGTTACAGTAGACTAAAACCACACCTCTAGTAACCACCATACTTCCGATTCTGAAAAAGTATTTCGATTACAAATAGCAAAAGTATTTTATATTTTAATTACAAAAAAATAAAATTTTGTTTTACAACTAATTTCTTGAAAAATAGGTTTATTATATCTAAGAAAAGAGTTTTGAGGTTAGAGGTTTTTACTTTCAGACATTTCTTTTTTTAAATCTAAAAGTTGATAGCTGGTCACCCAGGAGACAGTTAACCTATCTTTTAAATTACGCTTCTGGAATTAGGGAACAGTAAAAGGTGTAAATTATGTCACACGAAGAGAAGAAAATGGTGAACCGATAGCCATAACTTCTACCTCAGTCAGTAGAGGAAATAATAAATCTTTCAGTAAATAAAATAATATTGCGGGGGTTGAGATGGCCTCATAAAGTCACTAGAGCGGGGAAGGAATCATTAAAAAGGGTAATGGATGCCGATCTGAGGTGTGGGCGTCCGAGACGTAGGTGAGAGTATAACGTCCTCATTTCCGCTCTGAATTACGAATTCGTCCTAATGGTACAAATGTTTTCAATTTGGCGGAGAAACTAAGTTAAGGCCAATTTTTTTTATTTTTTTTTTTAACTTTCTCTTTCACTCATTTTGCTTTATGTTGCAAAGCAGGTTTCACATTTCAAAGGGTGTAAATTAAAAAAATAAATAGACTATATAACAAGATCGGTTATTTTAATATAACGGAAAACAAGATCCCGTGTTTCTGATCTTTGTATCCCTTCCTATAGAACTAAGACATTTAAATCTTCCTTTATTGCCCGATCCACTGCCTTCTGGAATTCCTTGCCATCTGATATTTCTTGTCCTCATTCAAATATCATCTCTACCAATTCCTTCTCACATCCCAAAATGAAATAAATATTGTGAAACAAATTTTGATTGAGGTGAATGGTTGTTGAAATTGTTTGAGTTTTAATGTTAAAAATCAACCCATAGTGCTTATGATATTTTGTTTTTTATTTGACCTGATTTCTGTTTTCTTTTCATTTAAATAATGTTTTTTTGTTTTTTTTTCAAAATGGTGTTACTTTTTTTTGTTTTAATATACCTTCACTGAAGATACTGTATTTATTCTTTAGTGTTGATTAATGTAATTTTTGGCCAGATGTGGTTTTTATTTTTTTGTTCATAATTGTTATTCATAAGGGACCTCGTCCCAGAATAAAGTTTAATTTCTATTTATCTGTCGATAATTGGGCAGTGGAGTAGCTCAGTGGTAGGGCACTGACTTGCAATGCTCAAACTCCCAAGTTCGAACATGGCAGATAAATTATTTATTCGTTTTCATTGGCTGTGAATCGACCCTGAGGTCGTGAGAGGCACACAGAGCCTCTATAAAGTGAGTACCCCTAATTAAATAATTTATTAAGGGATAAAACCAGGCGGGTTGAGCGTGATCTCGGTCAAATCACCTCCTTGCACAATCGCTGACCAAGAAATTGTACTTCCTTACAAAATACTGAACCCTAAAGACTTCATAGGTTGAAGTGGTACAGGTTTAATTTAATTATTTGCCTAATATTGATAACATCTGTAGTCTATAATTTCAACAATAATAATAAATTAGTTTATTTTATCAATATGGTTCTGTAAATTATGTTGAGTAAAATATCCCTTTTCTAGGAGAGATCAGTGTTCTTCACCAAACATTTCGTTTTAGCATTTTATTTTAGACAAACTGGATGATTTTAACTTCGGTCACCTCAATACGTTAATTATTGATCATGCAATTGAATTTTTCCTCGATGAAAACTTCTGCATCATACATTATATCTATTTTGAGGTCATTGAATGGCCACACCTAACATGCACTATAGCGAAGCCCAGAGCTGGAAGTAGGTTAAGGTAATGTGGGCACCTGTCTCGTAGAACTGAAGGGACAGCTAACATAAAGCAATATTAATTTTTAGATTGAGTAGACAAATATTTGTTTCTGCATTTTGATTATTTTTTCTATATTAACTTCGAAATATTTAATCTAATATACTGTTATCAAACTGTTGACTAATATTAGATGAATATATGGATAAATGCATAGGAGTAAAATCTAGTCGCATCTCCTCAGAAGTGCCCAGAAAGGCAAAGTTGTGCTATTCAAATTTTGACAGGGACTCATTTTTACGGTGTTGGAACTTTTGAAGGGGGCATATTTTGGTGATTATGAATTTTTGAAGTGAACCATCAAATATAGTTTTTTGTGTGGATGGTAACCATATGGTATGGTTTCGATTTAGAAGAATTTAAAAACTAGAAAACAAGGGCGAAAACGTTGAAAGTTGAACAGACAAGCAAGTGTAATTTTACAGGGTTTTTTTTTTCTCCCCTACCTAGCCTTTTCGTCTAAACAGGGCTAGAGGAGATTAATACCAGAATTAAATGTCTGAATATAAACTTACGAATGGATTACTCCTTTATGTATTGTTATAGATACAGACTTCGGGATGAGAGGGTGGAGCCCCCCAATATTTCGAAAATCAAAATTAAAATCCTAATGAATAACAATTAATCTACATGAATGAATAAAATATGTCAACTAAAATCAATTAAGGAAATAGGAAAAGTCGACTAGATCGCTAAGGCCTAGAAATAGGCGTGCAAGTATTTTACCGCGCCCTATTTTCCAATTATTGCAATTATAGTTTATTTTCAAAGATAATTATGAGTAGCAAAATATTGTAGCATTAAATGATTCATTCATGTGCACCCTTCCATTTTATGTGAAGTTTATTTCACATTTCTCGTCGTTAATTTGAAGCATCTGATAATTCAAAGATCAGCTGATTTACTCAAAACTTACAAAAAAAAAAAAAATATATATATATATATATATAATACATTCAATTGGTTTGTTAACATTGTTAAGCGACAAGGAGATCACATGGTATAGATCACGGGCGGATCTACGGGGAGAGGGGGGGGGGCTTTCGGGCTGAAGCCCCCTCCCCCAAAATGGAAAAATATAACCATGTTTTATGGGAAAAAAATTCAAAAAATACCTCTTAAAGTATTATTGTTCGTGTAATTACATTTAGAAGTACTTATGGAATAACTTAAACACCATTTCATATAGGTAGTTAGTTTCTTTCTGTTTTTCCAAAGTAATTATCGTTATTTTTATGATAAAAAAAAAGGTTTCGGGCTGAAGCCCCCCCAAAATTAAATCCTGGATCCGCTAGTGGTATAGATGCTCCCATTAAAGAGACTAATGAATTGTTTCATTATTAGATTCATTTATGTAGTCCCCAGGCGCTCCCACGTCTCCAGTTGGTAAGCTTAGTTGAAGTGGCTCTATCCAGTCTACCGACGGCAATATTTCCTATGTGTATTTTTTTCAGAACATTCACAACCAAAAAGCCATCTTACCTTCTTGATTTGTTTACTCCTTGTTTCTCTGTTCATTCGTTTAACACAAGATAACAGTCCATAAACCTGTTCTCTCTCATAAAACCGTTTTCTTTAAAAATCCTTTATCATGCAACCTTTTTTTTTTGGAATTCGTTACCTATCTCTATACGCAATTCCTCATCCTTAATCTCTTTAATTAAAGTTTATTCTTTCACCTCCTCAGCATTCAATCTTCCGAAAACATGTGAGGATAAAATTTCACATTAAAGAGCTGTCACTCTCATTTGACTTTTATGTTACTTTTAGATTATCAATATTGTTAATCAGAAAAAATATGTGAACACACTCATTATAAGGTTAGATTATTATGTTATGTTAGCCAAACTTTTTCGTATTTTTTCATGCCAGACAATTTTCATCTTTTTGTTCATTATAATTGTTCCTAGGAGACTAAATGTCTCAGAATTAAATTTATTTTTCTTCTTTCTTCTTCATCTTCTACAGACTGCAACAAGTGTAATTGTATATGATCTACGATTTTTCTCATTCTACCTTCGCTTGCTCTGTTTTAAAGAAAAAGTGAGCAATAAAATATCTTGTGGGGAGGTGAGGGGTTTTGGTGCTATCGACATTAGGGGTATGGACACTGCTATTTATAAAAGATAATATTTGGAAGAAACCTTCGCAATTATCTTCATAAAGGGGCGGGGTGGCCGAATGGGCTAAGGCGTGTGCACAGCACCGCGAGTTGCCTGGCAACCAGTTAACAAATTTGAGAGATTAAAAAAGTACGAGTCCGGTGCTGGAGGGGATTTTAAATTCCCCGTCCTCATCCCCCGGCCCGGGAAAATCCCGTAAAGCCTAAAAGGCGAGGTAGAGAAGAACAGGAAAAAAAAAAATTATCTTCATAACTATGTAGCGATTTAACAGCGAAATATATGCTTGACCCGCATGACTAATTTTTTGTAGATATGAAGAAAAGAGATAGCTGAGTAATCTAGAAAAATATTTAAAAAAAAAAATCTCATTCCACGAACATGCATTTTCCTTGTACCATGTCCGTTCGAAGAAACACGCTCCTTTTCCTATTAATCGTTGTCGATTTTAAACCTTCCACACACTTCCTGTTTAATGTTTTACTTTTAATATTTTTGCATAGCTAATTAAAAAAAAGTAATATTTTTTTTATTGTTCCTATACCTCCATAATACATGGAGGTATGTGTTTCTAAAAGGAGGAAAATGTAAAATTATACTTCTTTGTTAAATAATTGTTCTTAGCGTGCGTGTTTGGAATGATGATTCATGTGAGTGACCTTTTCAGGGATTATGATTTCGATGGCCTTGATCTTGACTGGGAGTTCCCAACGCAGAGAGGAGGTGCGCCAGAAGACAAGGAGAACTTTATTATACTGATTAAGGTATAGTATATATTTATTTTAAATTATATACGAAATATTATATACTTTATGATTTATTTTTAAAATATTATTTTTCGAAGGGTCTAATTATAGTTTGTAGTACAGACATGTTTTTATCAAATTATCAACATCCGCCTAATACTTTGTGAATAGCTTCATACACGGTGGGCCAGACCCCCTTACCGTGCACCCCCCTTCCCCCACATCCCTATAAATTGCGTATCGTTGTGTTCCTTGTAACTATTTATTAAATAATTTTTTTTATATATACCACCTTTTTTTTTTTATCGATTTTGTGATCAAATTATCTTACGATACAAGAGGAAAGCAAATGAGTATTCTTGAATTTAGTAACTCATTAAATTAACTAATAATAAATAAAACGCGCCATTTCTGTGAATTTTTGTAGGTAAAAAATTTGTATGCTATGATAAGATGAAGAAAGCTGTTCACGAAGTTTAAGGTGGATGTTAATAATTTGATAAAAAGAGGTCTGAGCCGCGGCTTATAACTTATTTGGTGATGATAATTCAGGATCATCTATATCCCAATTTTTCAGAAGAAAAAATAAATTTTAATCATACTGAGAACATTGTTTATTTTTTAATAAGCGGTATAATATAGATTAGAAAAATAAAGAATTAATTTCTGTGTGTAAAATTCAGGTAATAATAAATTAAACTCTTAATCAAAACATTTTATACTTATGCAGTTTTTATACACCAACGATGTATAAATCCTAACATGGAAATACTCAGAGGAGGTCAAGGTGGAATAGCTCCCCCCTCCTTTCAACGTGGAAAATTTCTAAAATAAAATTGTAATGAAGAAAATTAAAACACATGGGCGGATCAAGCCAAATGAGGACCTTAAGTGATAAAGCTTTCTGGGATCTTCAAAATATTTTAAAGAAGAAAATTCAGACAAACAATTTAATGGTCATAAACTTAATATTTTGTGATTTTATTCGATTATTTTATGGTTAGGTTATTTGAGGATTTTCGAATTTAGATTTACTTTTTCTATAAAAAGTAATTCAAAAATATTTTTAGTTCGCAAAGTCATGAGGGAGAGACACTCCGCCCAAAACCAGACTTACCAACGCGAACATTTTTATTTTTAGTAGAATTTTCTCTTAGTAGATTTGCTTTTGTTTATTTATTAATCAACTGAAGAATAATAACTCTCTAACGAGGCTAGGCATAAAAAATATATGTATCTTTATGTATTATTTATCAAAGGTGTTTTGTGGTAGGTATTCCATTTCATTGTTAATTCTTCATCAAATTTTATAATTGAGCAGCCATTTTGAAGATTTTCTTCTCCTTCAGGTGGAAAAACAGTCACATGCCACCGAAATTTCAGGAAATTTTTTCTTATGTTAGCATATAACTGGAGCATATAACATATAATTCTTGTATGCAACTGGAGTATTTCTGGATGTCGCGATAGAATCTGGCATAAGGGTCTTCTCTTCAAATTTAAGACGATACTCCCTTCTACCTACTATCTTATCCTTCAATCCTTTCTTTCTAACAGATTTTTCTCTGTCTGCCAAGGCTCAGTACTTTCTTCAATAAGATCGTCCTTAGCAGAAGTTCCTCAGGAGTCAGTACTCGTTCCACTTTTATACATCATATAGACACACGGCATTCCTAACAGAGCCAGAACTATTATAGCGACTTATGTAGACAATACAGCTTTTCTAACAAGACATAAAAATCCAACACACACCTCATAGACTTTACAACATTATCTGACAGAAATAAACAATTGGTAAAATTCGACTCAACCAAGACAAATCACAACACATCACTTTCACTCTTTGACATGAAACATGCCCTCCTACTTACCTTGACAATGCCGAAATTCTTCAAACAGATAAAATACAATCTTGGACATCCGATAGAAGAATGACATGGGGCGCACATATAAATAAAAAAGAAAACTTTAAACCTCAGACTACGATTGTTACACTCACTTCTCTCAAGACGCTTAAAATTGAACTTAAAACAAAAACTGAACACTTACAATTATCTACTTAAGCCCTTATGAACCTACGCTTCACAAATTTACAGGACAGCCAAAACAACCATCATACGAAAACTATAAACTTTTCAGTCCAAAACTTTCAGGACCATAACTAAAGCTCCATGGTACGTCACAAATATTACATTACCTAAAGATCTTCAAATGCCAACAGTTAACGATCACATACAGACACACTACAAGGGATTTTACAATAACTTACATGGACATACTGACACACTTATACAAAGTATGGCTACATTTAACATGCCCAAAAAATAGACTTAGGAGGCTCAAAAGGAGCTGGATAAGGGATTTTCTCTCTTAAAAAGATGCTAAATTCAAGACAGGAAGGGATGCCGCTGGGCACTACTTCTCTCCATCACGCCGATCAAGCCAGTACCTGTACTCTTACCGACAGCAGACCTGCTAATTGTCATTGTTTATGACAGGTATGGGTGAAGAAATGGAATTTTTAAAAAAAAACATGCAACTCTTTGTTTAATAGTTTATTTTCCGTTAGTGTTATATTTGTTTTAAATTTCTTAATAAATTTCATTTTTGATGAATCAAATGATTCATTTTTTATATTATGTAATTTATTTATTACATATTTACAGTTATTTATCTATAACTTATCATTTGGTTTGTAATTGATTTTTTTTTGGCCTGATCTATTTTTTATTTCTGTTTTCCTTGTTCAACTTCTGACCTTAAGAAGATAAAAATGGCATTTTAATGATTTTGCCTTTGCTATTTCTGTGTGATTATTATCCATATCTTCATTTTAGCCAAATCAAGTCATAAAATTTGTAAATACATTGAGCAATATTGTGAATATGTTAGTATAAAGTTCTGGAACAAGCTTGCTAAAGGTTGACTAATTAAAATCAGCTCCTGAAATAGTATTCTTCACATTTAATAAAACAATAATTTCATTAATGTGATAACTATGTAAACTAAACAAATTGAGAATGTTATAAAGATTAATTTGAGGAAATTAATTATTACTGTTGCATTAAATCAGGAAACAATGTCTGGAAATTCCAAGGATTTTCTGTATTTATTCACTTCCTTGTTTGTTGATGGACAAATTATTCCCTCTCTCTACATTTGACCTTTAATTGAAAGTCTGAATAGACAAACAATTATATTTTTTAATTTTATGGTCAATTATGTTTTTTTATAATTTGTTATTTAAAGAAAAATAATAATTTATTAAGCTGAAACGTTTACATATGTACAATGAATACAATGAACAAAGTATTGAGACAATACTCATCATTAGCTTCACACCATCTGCCAGAGTTTACTGTTAAAATGCTAAAGACAAAAAAAAAAGTAATAAAAATAATTCATAACTGAAGAATAAATAAAAATAACATTTAGAAAACAAAATAATAGAATATACTCATAAAAAAGAAAAAAAAATAGATAAAGCTACTCAATAAATACAATTTTGAGCTTAAAATATTGTCTCTTTTTATGGTTGTTTGTCGATATACAGTTCATTGGGTTGGTCACATGGCTAATAGTTTTTCTTTATTTCAAGGTTTTGAAGTAAAACTTAACTTAAGCTCTTAATATAGATAAATAAATTAAATTATTACTTGAAGGCATTATTTATTTATATTTTAGAACAATCATAAACACTGTATATCATAAATGAAAGGGTTCTCAAAATGAATATGGAATAATAAATAAATATTGCAATCATTAAAACAATAGCCCTGCATTCATTTTATATAAGTCAATTTTAAATCAGTTGTTCACAAAGATTTATATAAGTCCATCTGATTGATAGAAGAAAAACATTTAATAAAAATTATATTTATGCTGTTTATCAATCCGTAATCAATGAATTCAATTTTTTAACATTTTTATGTATTTTGATTTGTTCATTTAGCTAAAAAAAAAATGCTGGAAAACATAGTAGCATCTGAATTTTCTGTATCGAAATGCACCTGTTGGTGCCATCCTAATTGTTATTGAAATTTTGACAGTTAACTAAATTAGAAATCATATTTAATTTAAAAAAAAAAAAAAAAAACCAAATTTAGTAAAAAAAAAAGTAAAGGATCACTTAGATTGACCATGAGAACTGGCAGATTGAATTAAACACAGGTCTCCTGCCCTTCATTCCAAGGTCATGATTTCCCTTTTTTTTTTGTAAATAACTAAATTTACATATTGGAAAAATCATTATTATTTAATAATAACATTTCAATTTTTTACAAAATAAATATAAGTATACAAATTCCTAGTAATCCAATCCTATGATGGTGAAACTATCATTTACCGCCTATCTTTTTTTATTGTTTTGGTTGTATTAATTTTTATCAATGGGATTGATATTTAAACAAATTTAATTCCTCTTTAAGTTTTACTTATTGCCAATTAGTGAAATGTTATCTATGACGTAAACTTTAAAAATTGTTATATAATTTCAATGTGTTAATTATTTTAAATTTAAGTATTCTATTATGTCATATACTTCAAATATAACTCCATTTTATTTATTTTTCTCAAATTTTAAGTCTCTGTGCTTATTCGTTTTTATATCTTTTTAACACTGAAAGCCAGTGGACTTAGGCTGAAACATTGCGTCACATAAACAAATTTTTTTTTTTCATTGATCCATATTTGTCTCTGTCAGCAAAATAAAAATATGCATTATTTTTAAATTATAAGGCATGTATTTCAGCTTGTAAATGTAAGCATGTCTCAAGGAGTACCTATCTCCCCAAGGTTAATGGTGCAAGAATCTATTTCCCCCACTCCCAAGATATTTTATTGCTCATCTTTTCTTAAAAACAGAGCAAGCGAAGGTAGAATTAAAAATATTGTAGATCCTTGTAGTATACAAGTATACTTGCTGCGAACGATTCCAAGTTTTCTCCTGGTTCCTTAGTATGGAACTTTTCATTCTGAAAATTCATAACCTCGCCAAAATGTGCCCCCTCAATAATTCAAAATCCTGACAAAATATGCCCTCCCTTAAAAACCCCTTTCTGGGCACCCCTACATGTCTCAAGAAAATAATATAAAAACTTGATACCTAAAAGCATTATTGTCCCTATAAACACTGTTTTTTTTTCACAGGTCTACAAGTAAAATCTAAACATTATTTTATATAATTTCAATCTTTTTCTTCCAGAGTAATTACCATTACTAACTGGTTACTATGATCTGTTAATAATTTTAAGAGTAAAGTGTATGTATCCACCATTGATTAATAAAAATAAACAAAGCTGAAATAATATTAATTCTAAAAATTCTTGAAGCAATTTAAATCCATTCTTCAGCCACTATAGACTTAATACTTTATAAATTGTATTTGCCTTTTTTCTTTTATTTTTTTAGGCCCTTTAAGTGAGTGAGACTCTCTGTCTATTGCTTATTACATTTTGCATGATTTTAATGGATTGTTATTAATTTGTACTTAATTGAATTTTTATTATTCTAGGAACTAAGGTCTGCACTGACTGTTGGAGGTTACATACTAACCGCTGCTATAAGCGCTTCAATTGATACTTTAGCATCTGGTTACGACCTGCCGAGAGTATCAGATAATCTTGACTTGGTTCATATGATGGCTTATGACTACCACGGATCTTGGGATAAGTTCACTGCGCCAAACGCTCCACTGTTTCCTCCATCTGACAAACTTACTCTTGTGAGTGATATTGCTTTGACTGTTCATTTGATCCTAATTGATAATATTGATGCTTAGAAGAAGCACGTGTTTAGTTACTAAATATATATATACTGTGACCCAAAGTGAAATTGATACACCCCATAAAAAAATAGAAACAGACTTAAATGGTTACAGTAAACAAATAAAACCAGAAAATCTTCAATAGATTTATTTATAATTTCAATTTAAATATGTATAAACTCAATAAAATTAAAAAAATTCAACTGTGATTATTTAAAAGAATTAATAAAAATAACTGGATAATTTTACTTCACAGTCAAAATGATACACCTCACTTCCTATTAACTTCTAAATTAATTTTAGTTCAATAACTTCTACACAACCCATTATTTTCTACAACTTCTTTCAGTCTGTTTGTAATGGAGTCGACCAATTTTTTGGTGAATTCCGGGTTTATCCTGTTCCATCCTTCGAGTAGATATTTTTTTGTCTTCTTTGCTATAAACTTTGTGTTTTATAATTTCTACCTCCACATTTCCCACAGGTGTTCTATCACTTCAAGATCTCATAACTGTGGCATTTTTATAACTTTGAGTAGTCATTCCTTAACTAACATGGCAGAGTGTTTGAGGTCATTATCCTGATAGAAACTAAATTTATTTTTCATTTCCAGATTTCTTGCCATTTCTTTCAAGTTTCTTTTCAAAATGTCTATGTAAACATGTTTATTTACTATAAATGTGAATATTTCCACTATAAAGTGGAATGTATCAATATCCAGGTGTTTCATTTTAACTGTGAGCGATATATATATATACATATGAATGGATGAATGAATGAATGAATAAATGCATATATTTTCTAAAAATTAAATTACATAATTATCTTAATTATTTATATATACCATAAATAAGCATGGACATCGTCCATCTGCATGGAATTAGCTGTACTTTATCTTGCTAGCAAATGTTTTGTATGTATATATACAAAACATGGAAGTAATAAATTTATTTCCACTTTTTTCTATTTACGAAAAACTTTTCCATATTCTGTCAAATGTTATATATTAAGTTTGTTCTATTTTTTTTTATTTCCACAACTACTGAAGAAAGTATCATAACTGGTAAACATTGTGTTTTGACTTCACTTGATTTACAATTGTAAGGACAAGAGGGCTGAGCATATTTTTTTTTAATTAAAGAAAAATATATTTTTTATATCGTTTGATGTTTGTAGTTTTTGTGTGGTCATGGTAGATAAAAAATGAACAGTTTATTTTCTTCTTTACCTAAACAAATCTTTCTGAATGTTACAAGTATTTTAATTTTTACCTATACAACACATAATGTTTTCCACAAATAAGGTTAATGTTTACTTATAAGTCTAACTTTAAAAATATTGAAATATAAAAAAGTAAATATTTTTTTATACAAACTCCCACCTTAAAGGCTAAGAGATTCTGAGAGGCTGGGATTAACTGAATCAAAAGGGAGGTTTGTAGAGGGTTGGGAAAAACTATGTTTAGGTAAAAATCACTATATTCTGGTCAGAGTGTTAAACAATTTTTAGCCATAATTATAGTTTTCCTTAAATACTGAACCATTTGACTTTAGGTTGAATAGTTATATATTTTATTTCATTTCTTAGAGTGCTAGCCTCGAATATGTGCTAAGGAATGGAATCCGAGCTGACAAATTAGTAGTTGGAGTACCAATGTATGGTCGCACATTTGTCCTCGAGTCTCCATCAAGAGGTGTTCTAGGAGAAAGTTCCATAACTACGCAAGGCTTCCAAGGTCCGTTCACAAGAACTGATGGTTTCTTGGGATACAATGAAGTAAGTACTTGTTAACATTTAAAAAAAAAAAATTAATTGATTTGAATAATGTGTTGGATTTGATAATTAAGGCATTCAGTTTCAAAATAATCAAAGTCCAAAATTTTATTAGCGTTATGTATAGTTTTTGGACAAAAAATTTTATATGGTAAAAGGATATATTAAAAAACAAACTATCCTCCATTGTAGTTTTAGCTTACAATAGCTCATAATATTTTTTATATGATAGCAATTTTGTTTATTATAGAAGAAATAAAAAATGTAAAGCTTTTATTAACACGAAAAGACATCTATTGTCTGCCTCAATTCTGCTTTTTATGTATACCATTGCATCATTATTCTCATTTATGTGAGAGCCCACATATTTAAAATTGTCCCATGGACTGAACTATGACTTCCCAATAAAACTTGTTCCTTCATAGGAAGGTCATTTCTCCCGAATCTTGTATAAACACTATTTCCATTATTTACTTCAAGCTCTATTTATTGTGCAATATCTGAAAAGTAACAGACAAGCCCAGCATTGTCCATGCTGACAGTACCATCATCTGGTTAGGCAAAATTTTATGTGTCTGTTAAATATTGCACATAATAATGGGTTGAAACTGGAGCTACTGATTGCAGATTTCAGAGCCAAATTAAATAGTACCTGTGACAGAGGTTCACCTTGACGTGCATTTCTAAATGATTATATTTGATGTTTTCCAGTTTTACATTTTCGGTAGTATTTTCTGTCATATGAACTATTTTAATTAGCTAATTAGGGATGGTAAAATCTCTCAGAACTCTCAGCAGTTTTCCTCTATTTATATCGTCATATGTCTACCTGAAATGCACAGATAAATTATGAAGATTCACTTTATATTTTAGGTCTTCTCCTATGGCAAAAGAAGATATAATCTATGGTGGATCTTCCCACCCTAAAGCCTTTCTGGTAATCCCCTATAATTGTTTTGGCCCATTTTTTTTTATTATTTTATATATTAATATAACCAGAATTTTATAAGCTGCAGTTAGGAGTATGACACTTGTATAATTTCCACAGACCATCCTGTTCCTTTTTTTTGATGGGCCATAATATTGCTTGTCCACTCATCTGGTATCTTTTTTCTTATACATTTGTTCCATATTTTTTCTGTATAATTCCTTCTCCAGCATATCACCACTATACTTCACAAGCTCTTTCTCAATCTATTCCTGGGCACCTGCTATTTTTCAAAGACCAGATCACTTCAATAATTTCTTACTTTTCAGGGAGTATTTCCTCTTTCTGTGCATTATTGCTGTTTCTTAAATCCTCAGAGCAGATCAGTTCTCTCTTCTTTTTCCATCAGATCTATTTAGCAGTTCTTTTGAAATGTCTAGCCCACCTTTCTAGACATTTTGTTTTATTCCGTTTAAAGAAAAAGTTACAAATTTCCCATAAAATTAATTATAACCCTATATATTACTTCTTAACCCTATAACGGTGTTATTAACCCTATAAAGGTGTTTTTAACCCTATAAAGGTGTTTTTTTGTCAGTGTGCCATAACTTCGTCAATTCTTCATCAAATCCAATGATTGACCACTCATTTTGAAGATATTCTTCTCCTTCACATGCAAAAAATAGTACTATTCCCCCAAAATTTCTGGGAAAAAGTTATGAAGGAAAAGAAACTTTATTTGCGAATAACTCAAAAAGTATGCATCGATTGTACCCATAATAATTAGAAAGATTTCTAAATTACCTATTATCTTTCCTGTCAGGGTTTAAAAATAGGCCCTAGCAAAGCAATTTGTACAAATAATTTGGTCTATTACGTTAAATGGAATATTGTAATCGACCAAGGAAAAAATATTAATTCCTTGCTTACATAATACATAGGATCAACTTATTTCCATATTGTTTTGCTATTTCTTCACTAAACAAAGTTTTCTGCGAATTATTCGCACGGGCCAACTATTTTTTTTTAATATTCTAGGTATTTACAGCTTTAAATTTAAAATCTGACTTGTTTCTGTACACATTGAATTTGTAGGTTTTCGATATGTTAATCATATGTTGTATGTCACAGATTTGTAACGAACTTAGAACTGGAAATTGGACAGTTCATTGGGACAACACTAGTTTGACACCATTTGCTACAACAGGAAACAGGATCATCACCTATGACAATCCTGAAAGTATAATGCACAAAGTAAGATGTTTTTAATTATTTTTTTTTTGTTAATAAGAGTTTTAGTGATCAGAGTACTAACACATGTAGAAGAAAGACCAATAAAGAACTGCTTACAGAAACTGGTCAATCAATATCCATTTAATTGTACTGTATTGTGAGAGATAATGAATGAAACAATGAAAGCTATTAAGAAATACACCAATTCATTAGATCCTAAGTAGGTGGGATTAGTTCAGTTCTGAATTCACATATTAAACCTTATAGATATTAACTTTAATTTATTTAAAATGTAATTAATGCCAATTCATAATTAAAAATATTAAAATTAATTGGTTGTATTAAAAAATAATTCAAAATAACATTAAATGTATCATATTTAAATCTCTATTTGTGACTTTAAATGCCCAAAATAAAAATAGAAGTAAAAAAAATTAATTTATTCTGGGACAAAGTTGTTATTTATACAGATATTACCATACTATTTATCTATGTAATACTTAAATTAAATTTCCAAATTGATTTATAATTGGTAGTTTAATTTTCCCTTTCCAATATTTTTACTTTTGTTATTGGTTGTTGTGCTTTCCTTTTGTAATTTGTTTTTTTGTTTCCTTGTCATTTTATGTTTACTTAGACCTGATGAAGCCAAAACAGCAGCATACAATAAAATTAAAAAAATACACAAATTCTTATTTGTGTATTGTTTCATCAATGGCTGCACCCTCGTATTTAGTTTATTTTTTTTAATAAACAGTTTTGCTTTTTGTTCATAAAGTGAATGTTTTGTGAATATAATTTAACCAAAATGTGTTTGTTACACAGTTATCATTCATATTCTTAAATACATACTATATTCTTAAATAATATATTATATGATATAAATATATCATCAATGTACACTTATAAAACATCCACTTTCTTAAAAAAAAAAAAAAAAAAAGGTTAAACCTCAAATTTTGAGAGGGGGTTAAGTTTTTGAATTTTTTAAACCATCACAATGGTTCACTATTGAAAATAATAAACCAAAAATATATTAAAATCGGGATATATCTACTGATAGTGCTTTGATTTAGATGAAACTTCCTTCATTTATAAGAAAATTCATGTTAACATGTTATCACAATATTCACAAAAAAGTATATACTTTTTGAGTTATAGGGAATTTAATTTTACAATCCCTTGTGACTTTTTTTTCAGCTTCTTTTCGTTGAAGTATGTTATATAGATAAATTTAAAGGGGTCGAGAATATGACTTTAGTGAAGTTTCATTGAAATCGGTACATTCGTTTAGGCTCTACAGTCTATAGCAACGCAGGTTTTGAACTCAGGATCTTGAAAGGAAAAGGCGGATAGAAATGTCGATGAAGGAGGATCGTCCTCGAAATTTGAAAAAAATCGGTCCAGTAGTTTCAAAGAAAATGCGTGGATGGCGTACAGCTTATGGCAGACGGCGGACGGACAAAAAATTTTTATTCGTTTTGCGAATTCTACGTATCCTGAAACGTGAAACCTCAAATTTTGAGAGGGAATTTTTTGGTCGATCACAATGGTTCATTATAGAAAATAATAAACCATAAACTAACTAAATCTACTTTCATTTTAACCTTCTCAATTCGTCCTATATCTCTACAATTATGAATATAAGATAAAACTGACTCATATTTCTCTGCTACAACATAAGTTGGAATTAGTATTTATTCCTGTTATTAGACTAATCTTGTTATTTACTCTACTTCTAATTTCCATTTATTATTGTCATATTTTACAATTGTTGCTTATACATCTGTTAGTTATAAAAACAATATAATTATCACAGGTGAAGTATGCCATGGGTGAAGGAGTGGCTGGAATCATGACCTGGTCGGTAGATACGGATGATTTCAGAGGAGACTGTGCATTACCTGGACAGACCTCCCCAAGGGACCCCCTCCTGCAGGCGATAATGATAGCGATAGAAGAGTCTCTCTACAAGAAACCGACCACACTACCTCCTACTAAAAAGCCTGAAAAACCTGAACCAAGTTCTGCTGTACAGTTATGCTTGTACCCATCGCTTTATGTTGTTTTGGCACTTATAACTTACAGATTCTGGTAGTTTTAAGAAAGTTGCTTTTTTTTTTTGTTAAATTTGTTGACAACTGATGTTTTGCTAATGTGGTTTCTCAGTGGATGAAATTTGGTTAGCTCCAATTTTCTAATTGTATTGTACAATTAGAACTACAATATAAATCATATGAGGTGTTCAGTTCCTAACCACCCAAGTCCATAATGTTTTATTATTTATTTAACTTCCTCTTATTCTACCACGTACCAGTGTGAGAATCACTTTGATAGAGTTTGATCCAGAAATATCTATCCTGAACTATCCATTTTGTTTTCCATTCCTGCCCTCTTCCGTCAAAAATCTCCAGGATTGTGCCTTCCCAGGTCTTCATATATTAAATAAATATTTATTGTTCTTTTAAACGTAAAAAAAAAATATTTTTTACTTTATATGCTTTTGCTCTTCTCTCTATTAACACTTATATAATTAAAAAGAAAAATAATATGCATTAAACAAAATTAAGAATCAGATTTTAGTAATTATTTCCAACAAAACCAGTCATATCCAAACTTTTTATATCTAAAGCCAAATAAATTTTTGTTCTTTGAAATTTGTTATTATACATCCATAATTAAGTATTAATATAAAAAACAAAATGAATTTCTTTCCCAAGCATCCCTAAGCAAAATTTACCAAATGGACATAGCTGGTTTTGAAAGTGAACACCTCATATCCACAACTTAACGATTCTAAAATGAATTTTTGATCATAATTATAAACAAAACATTAATTTATTGTTATAACTAAATGATTAATCATAAAGTTTCATGGTCGATGAGAAGATAAAACTTTCTATCTTCAAAATTCATTATATTATTGATTTATGTCCAAGTATCATTATTATACAATTAATAATAATTCTCTATGCCATTATAATCATTTGTTTGGCTCAGCTTTGTTGTACTTAGTTTTAAAATATTAGTTTTTGGGTCATTATTCATGTCACACTCTGTTTTTTTCTTTACATTCTATATAATCTTTCCATAAATTGAGTCAAGATAAAACTCATCCACTGAGATTCTATGTATTGTTTTAATTTAAGTTTATTATTTTATTGAAATAGTTTCATGAATTCCATTCAAAGGTTATATTATTGCCACTTCAAAGCGTCAGCGAACTACATGTACATCACATAGATTTTTAAAGCTATATTAAAATTATAAATCAAATATTTGAATGAAACTTGTTAAAATTAACTTGTTATCGGATTTTGCTTCCCTAAATTTTATATTATTTTAAATAAACAACGTGGCAATGATAATTTTTAATTTAAATAAATATATATTTATTTAAAACTGTTGGCTTCAGAATTCACAAAAGCAATTTCATTTAAATGATTATTTACATTCAAAGTTTCCTATTAAGTAAGGAATTTTATTTTTATATTAATTAGCAGATTTATTTTAATAAAATAATTTTGTGTAACATTTAAATTATCGTACTTGTAAATTTGTTGACTCTGGATAAAAAATGTCCTTGACATTGACATTGTAAAATTTGTAATTTATCATGAATTTTGTTGTTTTATTCAACATAATTTATTTAACCATCTTGTATGAAGGGTATGCCTGTATTAAAAAGCAGATAAGTATTTTTTAAAATAATACAAAACTTGTGGAGGAAAATTCTGATGACAAGTAAATCAGTAAGTATTTACATAATTTCTCCATTTAAAATAAGCAAAAGTTGCAAAAATGATATGTAATTTAATAATTGGTTGTGCATTTATAAATTATATACATATTAATAATCAGGTTATAATTTGTCCATATAAATTAATGATTAAAATAGTTTCTTTTTTATTATATTAATCCACATTTCAGAGTTATTGTTTTGTCCAACTGTAAAAAATTGTAAATACTCCTAGATATGTAAATATGTTTTAAGATTTCGAGGTGTTATTGGCAATAAATCTACAGACTTGAAGACATCCTTTCAAGGGATCAGTCTCTTATTTTGTTCTAGATTTGAGTTACCTATATTTCGAAATGTACGAATACTTAAAATTGATGAAAAGTTATTTCATAGATAACTGTAAACAGAATATAAACAATAACAATTAATAATCTAAGTTCTTTGTCAATAAGAACTTAAATAATCAAATAAGAATTGTAATGTGAATCCAGTTTCATTTCCAGAATTTTAAATTATTCTTTCATAATTGCATAATATATAATTTAAGAAAAATAAATACTGTATTTTTTAAAATGAATTTATAGACTTTACTCAAAATATATTTTCTCAGTTTTTGAATTATATAAAATATATAATTACTGAATTTGTTAAATATTGTAATGATATGATAAGAAAACTAGTCAAATTGTTTCTGTCAAAAGAATTTAAAGTGATGCTAAAGTAAATTTTTAGTTTAATAAATTTTTCTAATCATGATAGTTTTGAATCAGCTTACTAAAGTTAGCTATGATTTCATTGGAAAACTTTTGTCAAAACTGTAAACATAATTTTAATAAATTGTTTTCAAAACCTCATCACCATATTTTAATATCCTATGTTTAATTCATAATTTTGATTGGCATGCATTTCTTTGTATTAAGTCATAGTAAAGTCTATTAATATATTAGAGATATTAAAATATCTAATATTGATAAGTATTTCCAACTCATAACGTAGATATATAAATATTAGTATAGTGGTTACCGATTAAATACTATTTGAGGGACTTCAACCTGTGTATTGGAATCTTCCTTTAATAACTTGATTTTCAATACTAGCTTGGACTATATTGGTAAGTTGCAATGAGGTAACTAGGTCACAATTTTACATGACCTCCCAGTTACCTTTAGAAAACTTCCAAAATTTGATGTAAGCATCAAGCAATTTTTTCACTGCAAAATATTGTGTGGTTATTACATATCTAAGCCTTTATTTCAAATACAGTTCCTTCAATTTGGTTCAAAGTTGGAAGAAATCAGGAGAAAATCTTATAAATGCTCCATCATAAATTTTCATTTAATGACTGAAATTAATGTAATTGTTATAAACATAATGGTTGTGTAGTAAAATGTGATAAGCAGTAAACAAATGGTAATATGAGCTTAAATAAATTTTTAAACTATATGCCTTTCTGTAGTCGATATCATGTGACAGCAATAAAAACTATTACTGTTAATTCATTTTCACAAACTTTTTCAGGGATTGTGAGAGTTGATACTTAGATGTCCATTATTGACTGTAGCAACTATATTTAACTCAGGCAAGTATTTTTCCTTCATAAGATTATACTTCAAAAATATGTAAATCTAGGCTCCTCACATAGATTTTATCCTCAAACAACAAATCATAGCCCATGAAATGTAGGTAAGTATGTAACAAATACAAATATTGAGGAAACTTTACTGACCTTCATTGGCAGACTTTGTTTGTCAAACCGTATTTACAAAATAATCTGGTACACATTATACAATTTTAACTTATCACTCTGTCTTGAATAGAACTATGTTCATATTTTAGTTATTTTCATATATGAGGAAATATATGAATAGTTAAACTAACAATGAATAATAATAGGAAATTACAGTGGTGGACATGAGTAGTTTAAATGGAGATAGATCAGTAAATGCCAGACACTCAAGGCTATTTCTGTTTTACCAGTTCATTGTGACCTACCGTTGCTTCCTTTAATTAATTATCAAATTTGTTTATATTTAACCATTCTTTACTTGAAGTAAATCACAATAATGCATATTCATGCCTCATTTCTCAGTCCGCTGGTGTTCCTCCTAGGTAGTATCCTAGATTCTATCCTTCCTACAGTTAATACAGCTGATATCCCAACCCATCCTTACACATTCATCTCCATGTACGCTAATGTCACATGTGTACTATCAGTTAATAATGACCCAACAATTACATTCCAAACCAAACTCTTCAATCACACATCACAAACCTTGAAGAATGGTGTCGAAACTGGATGATTAAAATAAATTCCAATAAATCTCGTCAAATCACCTTTACCCCTCTTCATAAACCTATGACCTCCTTTCCTATAGTATCCTTTAATAATACCACACTTATCCCTGTTGAACAAATTTGATACCCTGGACTGGAAAAAGTGTGTAACTTGGAATCCTCATATGAGACTGAAACGACAAGAAACTGCTCAACATTTCTGACTAATCCAGCACTTACTAGACAAACGACTCATTTACATGACTACAATAAGACCTATTTAGACTTAAAGAGTTGAGCTTTGGGGCTCCACTAAGCCATCACATTCCTCTCGTATCCGATCCTTAGAAAAATCCTTAATGCTCCATACTTTGCCTCAAATAAAATCATCCATAACAACCTTAATGTTCCTTTCATTTCTCATCTGGCCCAATCCAGATACCTATCCTTCTATAAAAAACGTCAGAACCATCCGAACTCTCTCGTTTCTAACCTCGCTTCCTCTTTGATTCCTCATAACTCTCCAAGGCATCTGAAAAGAAGATGGCCTCGAGATCTCCTATTGTAAATACATTTTTATAGCGTTACCATTGGGTAGTTTCTCAACAATTGGTTTCACGTTATTATATTCTTGTGTTTATTTACTGAATATATTTTTATTTCAATACATTTTGTAAAGATCATAAATAAAAAATAAATAAGTAAAGGACAATTCTTCATTAATAATTACAATATGAAAAGGTGCTTCAGGCAGTAGCAGATCCAGGATTTAATTTTGTGGAGCTTCTGTCCAAAAAGGTATTTTTTAAATGTATATATAACAATAATTACTTGGGAAAAATATTCATACCTATATTAAATTGTGTTGAATTAATTCTTGAAGTCCTATTAAAAATGTAAATACAGGAACAATAATGCTGTCAGAGATATATTTATTCATAAGACATAGTAATATTTAGTAGCTGTATATGTATCATAATTTAAAAAATAGAACATATTGTTATTGTTAAAGTATTAAGCTTTTTTTTCCCCCTTCCTCCTCCCCTTTCAGGCTATAGGGACCTTTCCAGGACCAGGGGATG